TGCTAAGCTATAAAGAATTGGCGTAAAAATAAGTTTTGGCAATTTGTTCATTAAAAGTAGAATTCAATAAGATTTAGTGTAACACCAAATGAGACTCGCAATACAGTAGAGTATCGGCCGATGTATTGGTTGTGCGAAATACAGTGTGTATTAAATCAGAACTGAAGTCAACAGCAATAAGATGTGTATTAGTGAGTGTCTGTCGGTTCCCAAGTGAGCGCCGGAACCAATACTCCGGTGGAGATAACCCTCAATATATAAATTTATATCTACTTATAGTACAGTATAGTGTAGTATCTGGTGGTGCGAAGTACTGGTGCAACACCTGAGCACCACTTAAACTGATTGAATGAAACACGAAAACACATTTCATATACAAACTAATATTTTTTCTATTAGTTGAGACTGTCTTATAATAAATGTCTATCCCTTAAACAAAAACCACTCAAATTCTGTCTCTTTTTATATAATTCATGTCTTATTTCAAAGACAGTCTTAATTCCTCATAAAATACGAGCTCAACATTTAAGCCCTATTTCTTAAAAAACATTTCTTAACAAATATTTGTCAAATTTTTACACAGAATTGTTGGAAATACAGTACATATTGTCAAGAATAACACGAAAACTCGAGTTTAAGTCTGAATTACTAAAATCTTTTAATAATTTATTACAATAACTGTTAAATAAATAAATTTAATAATAGAAAGATTATAAACTAGTGTTTTTAATATCTATTAATAATTCACACAAAAATGCATCAAAATTTATAATTTTCAAGAAAATAAATAAAACAAATCCAAACAAATGAATGCCAAGCAAAAGGATGCGCTAAATCTAACGACAATTCCCTGACTTTTACCAGACTTTTTCGGTTTTTGGGTAACATTTGTTGACTTCTCGTCAAACTTCTCGTCAAACAACACAATCATTTCATTTGTATGTTTATTGGCATTTGTTTGATGTGTTGTCGGTATAGTTGTAGCGACGGTTGTGGTCGGTCTCGCAATTCGGGGACATTTCAAAATGGTTGTTGTATTTGCGGGCGAACACTAAATACAATCACAAAAAACTAGTTAAACAAAAAGCAAACAAAACTAAACATAAATATAACATACTTGTGGTCCCACTTCGGTAATGTTAGCCCTGCAATACTTGGACCCATCAAACAGCATGAGATGGTTTTTGTTGGCAATGGCGCCCTTCAACACACGATTCTGTCTGTCCCACAACAATGGCATACCTCGGGTCGCCTGAGCTCTCATCGGATCAGAACTATCCAATAAAAACAGGAGAATACGCGCGGCATTCATTGCCTTTCCCTTCTCCTTCAACACCGGCTTTTCAATGTCTTGTATAACATATTTAATGAAATCGTTTTCGCCGTAAAACAGATAAACACTCGTGTCTTTCAATTCAAGCGATGTATTCACGTAAGTAAATGCCGTATGAATTCTGGTCTCGGGTGTCATTTCTGGCCACTTATCGGTCTGACCACTGGTCTTACGTTTGTTATTACTGTATAGAAACCATTCGTTTCCCTAAAAAGTTTTTTCGGTTCAAATTAGAAATACTTTTTACCATTAATTATATAAATTAAAGAGAGATTAACTCTTTAAATCTCATTTAATCCCCAGTAATGTCATTGCGTTTTATCTGCAATTTGTTTTTTGTAGCAATTATTGTAAAACTCATTTTGTCATTAGTATGTTTTCACATATTTTCACCCAAATTATCGACTATTAATAGTCTCTTTCTAACTCTAATAATTATATTTGTAATTAAAAAATTAACTAAAATACCTTTACGAAAACAGTAGACTTTCCGTGAGTGCTATCCTCAACAACAAAGCCTGTGGTGATAGGAGTCGGCAATTGTGGCCATCGGTCCAAAAAATACTGTCCAAACTCGTCGACAACGGCCGGTATATTAGAATCAAATTTCCAGTAATATTCGCCTTTAAAGACATAGTCATTGCCGTCATCTGCAGAGAAGGCGCCATCGATTTGCATGTCTTTGCATAGTGTGAGGTCGGGATCAGTTGGTGTCGGGATTAGGCTATCACTGATGTTGAGCTCAATGTTTATACAAATAGTGACTAAAATAAGGATTTTATTGAAAGAAAACATTTTGTTTGATAAGAAATGCTTCAGATTTAACCGATTTTCATAAATGTTATGCTTTTATTTGAATTAACATTTAAATGGAAATTATTTAATAAGAAATGCAACAATAGATGTATTGTATTATTTATAAAAAGATATAAAACAATTAAAGGTATAATTTTCATGCGTTAATAATTGGATTAAAGCTTATAATGAATGCAAAAGAATTTTAATGTCAAAGTTTTATGATTTTTATTTTCAATCTATTGAATCACATTTTGTTGCAAAACTATACAAACAATTGTATTAAATGGAAAAGTTTATACTTTCTATTATATTTAATACTAAAATACATAATTATTGGTATTTAGTAAATACTATTTACAATATATACAATATATTTTTTTCCCGTAATAATTTTGTACCTATTTTGATAAGTTATAATAAAGTCATATTATAGTAAACATTATCAACTTTCCCAAATCATTACCGATTGGTTGCTCATAGTATTGCTAAATGTGATAAAATGAGATATAAATTTAATCAAATATATGGTCAAATATTTGATAATTGATTGCTATAAACACATAAAAAGTTAAATTTGATTTGTTTGATAGGCCAACGCTTCTAATGAATGGTCGCTCACATTATCTTACATTATATGACAATTACCCGCAAATGCAATGAATCTCTTGAGAATGTCGTGCAGTGTTTGTGATTAATGTATTTTTTGTCGCAAAAAATATTACTTTCAAATACATACTGTATAACGTGTTATATACCGTACGTATGTATAGCCTGTATATCGGGGCCCAAACCTCGCAAATGAATACCCAATTGAAGTGCAAAAAACACATTTAATCTAAAGGCACACGAAATGCGGTTTGCGATCGAAATTGATTGCTATTTTGAAGGCTTTGCTCTCACATTAAAACATATCATAAAATACTTCACACTTCACTTGAACTGCACTTTTTCTAAACGCTATGAATCAACTAATTTCAGTGCTTTTTTAATTAACTAATAGTGTTTTAAATCTAATTATTCTCACATATAAACTATTTGTTGAAGAATTTCTTTATTAAAGGTATTTTTCATTATATGCCAATCATTGCCACTATTTTCCATCACATTCTTTCAGACATATGTTATATTGTGATAAAATGTTGAGTTAGAAAGTGAGTGACAATTAATACCAGTTATTTAGGTTAGTGTTGAAAATTGTTGGCATTATAAGATCTCTCTCTCTCTCTCTCTCTCTCTCTCTCTCTTTTTTATTTGTATAAACATTGAGCTCAACATCAGTGATAGCCTAATCCCGACACCAACTGATCCCGACCTCACTCTCTCTCTCTCTCTCTCTCTCTCTTTCAATATTATTACATTAATCAACTCAATACTACGTCAAGAGACATAAAGTAAATCATTATTAGTGTGTAATAGAAAATGTGCTAAAAATATATCACTTATAAGCGATAAATTATAACTAACATTACGGTAATTATCATATAAAGTCTTACAAAACTACTATTTTAGTAAAATTCAAGAATATATAAATTCATAAACATTTCCAAAAAATAAAATCTTCAAACTTTTATTTAAAAAATAATATGTTATTAATTAGTTATAAATTTTTGCTTAAATAATGTATAAACAAATGGCAAATAAATATATTTTAAAGATATTAGTGAATATTATTCAATATAACTAACTGTCCCTGATGGTCTTTTGGTCACTGTGGCGACGGTGACGGCCGCCACCAAAACCACAACCGATACGATAACCATAATTATAATGACAATAATGGCAACGATAGAAGCCGTGCGCTTCTCATCCGATGATAACGTTTTCTTGGGCTCATTTCCCGGCTCTTCATTACCCGAACCACTCGTTTGAGTGACTTTATTGGGATTTGTGTCCAATTTAATGGTCGGCAATGGATGGGTCGGCGGCCTATAGGTAGTAGTGGTCGGTCTATCGGATATATTAAGTGGACAATGGAATAGTTTGGACGCCGGCGACTCGGGTTTACACTAATGGCAAGCAATTGATGTCAGTATTTGGTGTTACTATCAATTAAAGTGTGACAACACTATACCTCGTAGGCATCGTCTTCGTTGTCGTTCATATCAATGATACAGTACTTATCGGTGGCGATAAAGACAAGTGACTTATTATAAGTGAGTACTCCCTTCACGTCAATGAGAGCGCCGAGAGTAGTAAAGCCGCGAAAGTGGGCCATATTTTTGACACGACTCTGCAATAAGTCCATAAAAATGATGCTAAAGTCGCGTACGTTTGTGGCACCGGAGGCGACCAGTGTTGGCCGCGACAGCGATTTGAAATCATAGACTAAGTAATTGTTATTATTATTGTGTAAAATAAAAACTTTTGGACTTTTGTTTGTACTGAAAGCGACCGTCACTTTACTGTCGGCAAACTGTGGCCAACCGGCGGTCAATCCGTTTACGGATTTTTTGCCATTTTCATAGGCGATCCACTCATTCATCTGTCAATTGGTTTTAAAGAAAAATTATTTAAAATAATTTTTGTTTAAATTTAATTTCTATTGAAATGACTGACGACAACAAAAACGGTGACAAAACCGTCGCCACTCTCTTTAGGCACAACAAACACTAGACTTATATCGGACTTGACTTCTGGCCATTTATTGGATATCAATTCCGCGAAACCAAATATCCCACGATTTTTGTCCAAAGACTCGACTCTCCAATAATATTTGCCTTTAAATATATAACTGTAAGCATCGTCTGAATGGACGGCATTACTGATCCCTGTGCTACAGATATCGATGTCCTTTTCAATTATATTTTCAATTATTGTAAATAAAATAAATGATTATCTAATGAGAGGAAAGGTGTGTTCACTCACGGGATCGTAGGATATACTCAACACAACTAATGGCAATGTCATTAATACATACATTAAAGCAAACATTTTTCTCAAATAACTTGTCTCTGATTTAAATATTTATAGATTTTTGTAAATCATAGCAATTATAACATATTTCGAGACAAAACAAATAATAATTTAAATTACTTTTTTAATTCAAATCTTATACAAAACTAACCGTTAAAAGCCTTAAACTCGCGAGACTTTACTAATTGTAATTACCGTTAGATTTAACAACAATTATCTTGTATTTAGCGTTGAATTTGATCCCAAACTAGCGATGATTTTATTTTATTTATCAATCAATTTGTTATTTATCTGTTGTTTGACTTCAAACGAAACTACAACTAAAAACAGCTCTCAAGAGGACTACGATTATGACGACAATAGAGTTATAATTAAAAACTTCAACATAAAGCTAGAAATGCCGACTCTTATGCCGAGACCACATCAGACCACTGATGATAACTACTATGACAACGATTACGAGGACACGACTGGTCTGTCGGCCACCGCCGCCACCGGCGCTCCAAAAGTCTATTCTAAGACTTGTGGCAAAATCTGTAATCCACAGCATTTCGATGCAATCGCTTCGTTGCCATTGAATGACACGTCAGACAAACAGTTAGTCCTTATGATTAGCGGTCAGTGTTTTTGGGTCTTTGATCTGAAGGGCGACGCAAACCATACCATAGGACGAGAGCATAAGTTTATGTTTGACACGATTGAAGCCGTGTTTGCCATTCCGGTCGCGGATAACAAATTCAATTTGACTGTTGTGTTCACCTCTGGACTGACCGCTCAAACACTGCTGTTTAATCTGAAGACATTTACCGAATTAGATCACAGGACACATCCATTTCCCGGTCTGTCGATCGACACCAATCATCCCATAAGTGAAGGGTTTCTGTGGATTGAGACAAAAACCGTTTATTTCTTACAATCAAACCATTACTCGGCTTATGATTTGCAAAACAAGAGCCAATTGCCGGGATATCCGAGAAATTTGACTGATTTTGGCATCAGATTGAATGAAAGTGAACACATTTGGTCCGCATTTGTCGTTCAAAATCAAATCTATTTTGTGATCGAAAGCCAATTCGCTATCTATTCGGTGCACAACCGGAGCCGAGAGAGCGGTGTATTCGCGGGCCGTTTGAGTCCGTTCTACTCATTGGACACACATTTGTTGAAATGCCGGCTAAAGACACGACTATTTATGAGCGATTTGGACGCAGACAAGGATATCGATCCGGCGATGTTCGCAGTGCCCGATCAAAGCGATCAACAAATCTCATCAAATTTGTTTATTTTCCTAATCATCTTATTTATAGTGATAATTGTGTCCATATTTCTGTTGGTTTATTTCGTAATCCAAAACAAATTAATTAAAAATAAAATAAGTGATGAGAAAAACGTAAACCTTAGCCGTAATAAAGACGGCAAACAAGTGACTAATGTTTCCGATTCTGGCAAAAGGCTAACTCGCGGACAGATTAATGAGATTCCGGCCAACGATAACAGCACTAAAAAGCGGATTACTATCTATTCGAGCGGAAAGTCTGTCTCCACTACAGCTGTAGTTAACGTACAAATCTGATCAATAAATACATATCAATATAAAACATTAAATAAAAAAGTACATAAAAAATTCATTGGAAATAAAATTTTTAATGAAAACAATATCTAATAAATTGAATATCAAAAACATAACTGAAAAGAGAATTTTGTCAATTTATTTAATTACAATAACTTCTCCTTTGCGTCCTTTGCGGCTAATTCTGGACACTATAAGGACTAAGATTAGAGCGACAAAAGCTATTCCGACCACAACTCCAATGATAACAAACGCCCAAAAGTCTGATTTGTCGGGTTTCTTGTTTTTACTATCTTTTTCGCTGAGAGCCGCCACTACGGGTGTTGTCGTCTGAACAGTGGTTCCCAAACCCGCTTTTGCTGGTGGTTTGAATTGATTACCTCCGCCGACACCAGACAAGTCAGGTCTTGGTTTGCCTCCACCGCCAGTGAATTTCTTTGTGGTCCGTCCGATAAATTCGGTGCCAACGGTTGTCGTCGATGGTCTCGATTTGATATCAAGAGGACATCCCAATAGGTTTGCCGCTGTATTATCGGATGCGATGCACTGTCAATACAAAAGCAATGCTATAATAATCACTAGTAATTAAAGCGATGTAAGGATGGGATCAACCTTTTTGTCCAACGGTTGTAAGTCTTGTTGGACTCGACAAAACTTTTGCGACGAAATAATGATCAGATCGTCTGAATAACTGAGGGCTGCCTTCGCATCCATTATAGAGTTAAACATTTGAATCCCTTGTTTACGTGTCTTATCGCTCATTAAGCCGTAGAAGAATAGGTATCCGTCTCTCACTTCTGTCTGTCCAGAGTTGAGGACCTTTGGGTTCTCCACACTCTTGAAGTCATACAATATATAATTCCTATTCTTGTTGTAAATCACAAATATTTTTGAATCTTTGCTCTCAAATGGAAAGGCGATTGTGATGTCCAGGTCTTTAAACTGAGGCCAAACTGAGGTCACACCGCTTGACATCATCTTTCCGTCTTGATATCCATACCAATTGTCGCCCTATTATTGATTTTACATTAAAATTAACGCAATGTTTTGTATTCAGTTGTTGAACACTATTTGGTTAAACACTGACCACAATAAAGATTGTCATAAATCCGGTTTCGATGGGAATCACAAACGCAGCCCTTATTGGGGCCAAAATTTCTGGCCATTTATTGGCTATAAGACTCGCGTAGCCATCGATTCCCTGCTTTCCCTTCATTTGCCAAAAGTATTTATCATTAAATATATAACCGATTCTTTCGTCTGTAACGACACCACCGGTTATGACAGTCTTATCGCATAACTCAACGTCCTGTCAATCAATACAGATATACGTTAATTATAAAAGTGTCACATTATAATTAATTGAAACAACAAACAGGGTCAGTCACTGTCTCTCCTATGGCCGCTGTGGTCTCGGCCAATGAGATCTGCTTACAAGAGAAACAAAGTATTGTAAAAATCAGAAGTGGAACTAATGAAGTGATTGATAACATATTTATTATTTAGAAAACACTTTGCAAACAAAATATGTTAATTTTGAATTCACTTTTGAATAATTAGTTGTTTAGTTTTTAAACGTAAATGAATTCACGAGCATTAAGGTAACAATTAAATTGTATGCATTATACATTGTACTGTTTTGCAATTTTATAATTTTAAGTTACACTTTATAAGTTTCTAATTTTTGTAAATTATAGTTTGCGAAAAATTTATTTTATTCTAAATTATTAGATTAAATGAAGTAACTAGATTTGATTAAAATTTAATTAATTAAAATAAATTAAAAATTATTATTATTTTCTCAATTTACTCAAAAGATTATAATTTTCTTATAATAATTAATGAGTTTAAAGTTATTTTCCTTTCCTAATAACACTCACTATTAAAGTTTGTGCCAATTTTGTCCACTAATCGGATTAACTGACAACGAAAACAATATTTTAATTAATTATATTCTGTGTATAACTTATTAATGATATGGAAGACAATAATTATTCATTTCGTCGGTTGTTTTATTAGCCAAATGTGAGACTCTGTGAACATAACGAGTAGTAAAATGAAAATATTGATTGAATGCCAAACATTTAAAGACAGAGACTATCCTTTCGGGACATCTCTTAATGGCAGCGAAGAAAGAGCTGAGAAAAGCAAAAATTGTGATTAGAGTGTGAGGGCTGTGGACACAACCAATTGGCTCTGACTTTGCCATCACTTTCAATACAAATATTGTCATAAAGAGCGCTATTTTTATGTCATTTCGCTTTTTCTTCAATTTATATAAATTACTTATTTTAATACAAAATAAATGTCGACTAAAATTGGGCTCAAATCTAACAGAAACAACAATTTTGTGATACTATTTGGCCGTAACGTGCGCTCACTTTTCAATATAATCATAATATTGATTAGCAACTGATCCTTAAATGTCAGACATTGTATGTCTTAAGCACTGGAAGCGTTGACTAAATCTAAATATCACTTTCAATACAGCGTTTCGATTGTATTCTTCTCACAAATGACTCTCATTTTGGTTTTGTGTCACAAACTGATGACATAATGAGCTTAATCTCTGATCTCTTATCGCAAATGTCTGTCTGAAAGTCATATATTTAGCGCAAAATTGTTTTGTGGCTAAAGATTAATAGGAGTCGACATAATATTAGTGCAAATATTCCTTATTATAGACAACATTGCCGTCAAAATACAATCTAATGGAGAGGAAAATCACCTAAAATTATCGCAATATTGTTTTATTTATATTTTGACACATTTTTGTATATTAATAATAAATAAATAAATAAATTTTCCTCTAATAACTAAACTATAAGATTATAATCGCATATATTTTTATTAATAATAAATGCATTTAATAATAAAATTGATACATACATGTATATTATCAGTAGTGAGTTTTAGATAAAATATATACGTATCTTTCCTTTTTATTTATTAATAACTTTAGTTTAAAAACAAAATAAAATTTTTTATTTTTGCCATTTCTAGTAAAAATTGGCATAAAATATATGACAATACAATCGTTGTTTTGAAGCGAAACAATCACTTTAATTAATTGAAGTCTTCACTCATTTCAGTTGCAATTGTGGTCTCAATGTCCTAATTATGGCTATTGTATGATATAATTAATCATTGCTTCAGTAGTGGCCGGCATTGCATCCCATAAATTAGATCTCGTTTTAATTATATTTTTATTTTATATCAAATTAATGTACATTTCCTGATAAATATAGTGATTAGCGCAAAAAATTAATGCCTAATTAACAAAATTGTGATCAAATTATCATTTAATATAAATTAATATAACTATTTATGTGTATTGTTTGAAATTCTTCATACATACCATTCATACCATCCGTTCTAATACTTTAATATCGTATGAGAGATATGTTTGATCTCAAACATCAACATCTGATATGACTCTCGAAAGAAATTGTTTGTCCAGAGATTCAAAATTAATTAAGTTTTGAGATGAGGACAAGACTTTCCACACAAACAACAATAAATACAATTGCTTTCTAAATATCATTCAAACTTCTGATGAAAATCATTATTAATTATAAGAAAGAAGTAAAAGTATATAAACTACGAATTCTGGCTTTAAGTAGAGAAAGATAGGAATAAAACCTTTTTATACCAATTATGAGATTTAATAAACTTTTAATTAAACATTTGGACTCGAATTTTGATTTTCTTTTCCCATTTGTGTTTCATTTATATAACTAATGATAAAATCTAATTAAATGTTTTTGTATTACATTTGAATTCAGAGTACGTTATTTAGAGACAAAACGGCTCCTCAGAGATAATAATCTAATTTTTATAAATAATGTTATAATATAAACATCAAACTAATGTTAAATATAAGAAAACTCATTATGAATTGTGCATTGATTTTTTACATTATACTGTATATAAAATATATGCCTCTTTTAGTCGACTTTATGTCTTAATTAATTAATTTTATGCTAAAGAAAAAAGACGAAAAATTTCTTTAAAATTCCTAAAAACTTATTTTAAGTTAAATTATTGTTTTCTTCATTCTTTCAGTATATAGTCTAATGGATTCAAACTTTTTATAATAAAAAAGTTTTAGTTTGAGATATGGTATCGGCTGTGAAAATACATTTCATGCCTTTCCTCACAATTCATATTAATTTTCTGTTTAGTATTCAAATGTTAATGAGATTAGAAATGAAAGCTCTTTTAGTATTTTTATTTTTCATATTATATATTATATTATTTATATTATAATAATAATTCAGTTATGGTTTTTTGAGCATAAATGTGGCGACAGTTTTCATATGCAAAGTGTTATTATTGTTAAATATAAAAAATAAAAGATAATATAATGACAGAAAAACTATATCTTGACTCTTATATAATACGGTATTTTTTGGGCTAAAATAATATGTATGCAAATTAGGATCAATTTTCTTAAGGCAAATGCCATCCCTATAACTTAACAGTCCATTTACTTCTCTATAATACCGTATATCTCCTATTCATTGCACTAATACTATAATTTGTAATTTAAGTCCTTATATAATAAAACTAATTATTAGCAAACGTTTGCCCACTTATCAAATGAATTATACGTGCGCTCAGACCTAATACTCGGCTCAATATATAGTCAACGCATAACGTATACCAGATTTAAACCTTTTTATAAACATTCAAATATTATTTAGCTTTTTATTTTGAAGTTTATTTTCTATTACTTTGTTAACAGAGAATATTCACAATATTTGTAAGCATTTGCTCTAAAAATAGTAGTCCTCTGACAACCATTTAGTTTAGATAATTAGGCATCAAATTTAGCAAACGTTATAAAAGTGGTTAATTAAGTAGACTTTAATTGCATTTTTCAATAATAAAGGCTTTTATATTTTTTCTTCAAAATAGACTTCACAATAGAAGTGTTCATTAATTTAAATGTAATTCACTTGAGATTGTTATATGAGATTCACTTCAATGACAACTTAAGCTATGGTTAAGTTTGACATAACATTACTTTTAACAGATATGTCGCACAAAACTGGTTGTCATACAAAGAAAGTTTGCCAAAAGGCTTCTTAAACAACGTTTTGAGACATTTATTTTTATTATTACTGTTATTGAGGAATAAAATTTATATAAATGTTTTCACATATTATTTAAATGAATCTAATTTTGTGAACGATTTATTTATATTATCACTAAATGAACGCATGTTTTACTTCTTTTATATTTTTAGTAAACATTAATATTTTATATGAAATAAAATGAATTTTCCAAACAATTCTAAAGAGAAAAGAATTTCAAGAATATTCTATACTTTAAATATTTTATACCAAACAAACATTAATTTTAATAAAAGCGTTAAAATGTTTAAAACAAATATTTGAAAGCCTTATACACTCTGTGCTAACAATTAATATGAAGTTTGAATTCGTATTTGATTAGTATTTTTGTCGTATTTGCGAATCAAATTGAAATGAATAAACAGTGAAAACTAGAGTCCAGAGAAAGAGAGAGAGAGAGAGAGAGAGAGAGAGAGAGAGAGAGAGAGAGAGAGAGAGAGAGAGAGAGAG